AATGCCACCTAAGAAGTGTAAGGAAGACTATGTTTCCCTTTCAGTGGTTAGAGGCCTCTTGGATCAGCAAAAGGCCTTCTATAAAGACTTGTCCCCTTGCAACAAGGGAACACATTCAAAGGCTTTGTCCAAATGATTTATGACTCTAACAACAAATGTGTTGATGATTTTACTAAAATTCCAGGAGGTAAAATGGAGCCTTGAATTTTTTCAGAGTGAACTGGATCTTTTGAAAGTCTTCTTAACATCTGTGACTACTGATGCAATTAAACACCTCCAATCCAGCACTGAAGCCCAGCTTGGCCCTTTATTAATCAGGTGACCGTAACACTTTCACAAATTACCGTCCAAATTCTATTCTTCCTTGTTTTTCAAAAGTCCTGGAGAATCTAGTTTATGCAAGACTCTTGAATCACTTGAATAAGAATTACAGTACATCCTTTACAAACATTAGGGTTGCCAATCGTCCCGTATTAGCTGGGATGTCACGCATTTGAGCCAAAAGAGGCGCATCCCAGATGGGATGTTGTTTGTCCCGGCCGCACAGGTAAAGGGAAGATGCATTTTTCCTCTTTGTGTGCCATGCATTGTGTGTGTAGCTGCCTGCATGGTTGGCTGTATACTAAGGGCACTAGGACCGCTCAGTTGACAGGGTTGGCAGGCAGGCACAGCAGCGCTCACGTGTGTGTGTGTGTGTGTGTGTGTGTGTGTGTGTGTGTGTGTGTGTGTGTGTGTGTGTGTGTGTGTGTGCGCGCGCGCATGTGTGCCGTACCGTGTAGCAACGAGGCTGCTCTGTTTGTGAGGAAGTAGAATGGGAACGCGAATAATGAGCGCTGCTGAAGGAGGTCGTGAAAATGATGACAGAGGACATGCCATGGGGTTTTTAACTGGTGTATGGTTGAAGCATTCCATTTCTTTGTTATTATTGTAGGAAAAATATGAGTTGTTATTACAATCATGTTACAGTAAGTATAATGCAGTAGCCCATTGCATGTGTTTGTATAGTGTGTAATAGGTATAACTGTGCCAAAATGCTGTTATCTATGCGTTTTTGATCCCCCAAAACTCCTTTTTTTTTGACTGCTGGGAAGTGTCCCTTATTTTAATCTCTGGGAGTTAGCAACCCTAACAAACATCAGTATGGCTATTGGAAAAAAATATTCAACAGAATTAGCACTTTTACAGCTTGTAAACAGAATTTCTATGGCTCTGGATGAAAAACAGTTTGCTTTTGGCATCTTTCTTGATCTATCCAAAGCTTTTGACACAGTTAATCACAATAGTCTGATTTCTAAGCTTAATAAATATGGTTTACATGGTGATTGATTTATATCAATGATTTGCTAATGGTTTGTAAACTTTTTTTTTCCTATTTCATTTGCATATGATACTTACCTCATTGCCACTCATCATGACTTAAAAACACAAATCCAGGAAGCAAACAAAGAACTGTTTCTAATTTCTAAATGGTTTCAGATAAACAGGCTCACCCTCAGTGTACAGAAATCAAGCTTCATGATATTTTGCAATAAAAATAAAAAATATAGCTACAATAAAGCTAAAAAATTCTTAGGAGTTATTGTAAATGAAAAATTAACTTATTGGCATATTGATCAGGTTTGCAAGAGGTCAATGAAATTTTTTGAATATTGAGGAAAGTGTGTCCTTTGTTTCACCTCTCTTCTCATTTAACCCTGTACTACAGTTTCATCTATCCATATATCAAGTATTGCAACATTGTTTGGGCTGGCACATATCCCTCTTATCTCAATCAGATACTTTCAATTCAAAAAAGGTTTTTAAGAATAATTTAAATCACCTGCAGTTTTATGACATCTGCACCTTTGTTTATTAAATTTAAACTTTTGTCAATTCATTCTACAAATACTTATTGAACATGCATATTTATGTTTACATTCTTGTATCTTAAGCAAAACCTTCCAGACACATTTCATAATTTCTTTATCATCTGACATACAATCTTATTCAACAAGGCGAGCAGAGGACTTTTACCTTATTGTCGCACTCTTACTCATCAGTCGTTCATTAAATTTAGAGGCCTGCATCTTTGGAATTCACCAAGTTCTGATCTAAAGTTATCATCTTTCTCTTCAAGAACTTTCAAATCTCACTTAAAACCATATCTCTTACCCAAATAGATTTCTGTGTTTCCAGTACACTTGCACCTGATCCACATTTAAAGGGTATTCAGTTTTCTTTTGTTATTTTTCATTTTTCTTTTTTTTTCTTTTGGTTGCAAATTTCTTTATTTTGTTGTCATGTAGTATATTTGATGTTGTATTGGTTAAGATTCAGCATGTTTTAATTTACCTGTATTGATAGGGAGGATTTTGTATAAGCCCTTTAGGCGTGTTTCCTCTCCTGCACAGTTTCGATGAACTTCTTTGTTTTAAACATGTAATTATTTTATGTCTACTTTTGTGCACATAAAAGTAGGTATAAAATAACATAATAAGTGTCCTATAAACATCCACATATTCAAAGTCCTCCCAAAGACCAATGATTTGTTTTGACTGTTTTGATAGGGCTAAAGCACCTAGGGGATTCCTGTCCATAAAAGGATTCATAAGGCAATTAAAGTCACCTCCTACAATAATATTTTCCACTGCAAGATCAGATAATTTGGCAAAAGCCTCTGTCAAAAAGTTAAGGGGATGACATGGAGGGCAGTAGACAACAAGGATAACAAAGTCCTCCCCATGCAAGGATGCTGAAATAAGTACAAAGAATAGAATAGAATAGAATTCCTTTATTGATCCCCCATGGGGGAAATTTTTTTTGCCACAGCAGCATCACAGACAAAGAGTGCAAAATGCAGTTATAAAAATAAAGAATGGAATATTAAGAACTTGAATAAATGTTATAATTAAGAAGAAATTTAGAAAAAGGAAAAAGGGGAGAAGAAAGTAAAATAAAATAAAATAAAACTATATACAATATACACAATTTAAGTACCAGAAAAAAAGTGGTGGTGTGAGTCCAGTTTTATTGCAGTTTGTTGTAAGTCTTATTGCAGAAGGGAGAAATAACCTGCGGTAGCGCTTCGTCTTGCAAGGTGGAAATCTAAGTCTGCTGCTGAAGGAGCTGCTTAAAGCCCCCACAGTCTAGTGCAGTGGGTGATGGATCCATCCATGATGGATACAAGCTTTGCTAACATCCTCCTCTCACGAACCTCCTCCAGGGAGTCCAAAGAGCAGTCCAGGACAGAACTGGCCCCTCCTGACCAGTCTGTTCATGTTTAGTCTCTTCCTGTCCCTCTCGGTGCTCCCTGCCCCCCAGCAGACCACTGCATAGAAAAGTGCAGATGCTACCACAGAGTCATAGAAAGTCCTGAGCAGAGTCCTGCACACTCCAAAAGACCTCAGTCTCCTCAGCAGGTGGAGACGACTTTGGCCCTTCTTGTACAAGGCGTCTGTGTTGGTTGACCAGTCCAGTTTATTGTTGAGGTGGACACCCAGGAATCTGTAGGACTCCACCATCTCAATGTCCAGACCCTGGATGTTCACTGGAACAGTCTGAGATCTCCTTTGTCCTCCTGGCGTTTAGCTGGAGGTGGTTTGTGCCACACCAGTTGACAAAGTCAGTGATGACAGTCCTGTATTCCTGCTCATCCCCTGACGATACACATCCGACGATGGCTGTGTCATCAGAGAACTTCTGGAGGTGACCGCTCCCAGAGTTGTAGATGAAGTCCGAGGTGTACAGGGTGAAGAGGAAGGGGGAGAGCACTGTCCCCTGTGGAGCCCCCGTGCTGCAGACCACCATGTCCGATACACAGTTCTGACTGTGGTCTGTCGATGAGGTAGTCCACGGTCCATGCAGCTAGGTGACAGTTCACTCCCTCCCTCTCGAGCTTCCCCCCTGAGTAGTGAAGGCTGGATGGTGTTGAAAGCACTGGAGAAGTAAAAAAAACATGACCCTCACAGTGCTGCCGGTGTTCTCCAGGTAAGCCATGGACCTCTGCAGCAGGTAGATGACTGCGTCGTCCACCCCGATGTTCGGCTGGTACGCAAACTGCAGAGGATCCAGATGAGAGCTCACCAGGAGGCGGAGGTTCCTCAGCACGATCCTCTCCAGAGCCTTCTTCAGGTGAGAAGTGAGGGCCACAGGTCTGAAGTGGTTGGGCTCCCTGGGGTGTGCTGTCTTGGGGACAGGAATCACGCAGGAAGTCTCCCACAGTGCTGGGACCCTCTCCAGACTCAGGCTTAAGCTGAAGACGTGCAGTAGCACCTCACAGAGCTGGTCTGCACAATCCTTCAGGAGTCTGGAGCTGATGCCGTCAGGATCCGTGGTTTTCCTGGGCCTCATCTTCCTCAGCTCACTTGTCACCTGGTCAGCTGTTATGGAGAGGCTGGGGGTGGTGCTGGAGGAGTTGGTGGAGGGGGGATGATGATGCCGGTGCCATAGAACTGAAGTGGTGTACAGAAGAAGCAGACGAAGAAGCAGACGGGTCGTTGGTTTGATGAGTCAGGGGAGGAGTGGGAGCAGAGTCAAATCTATTGAAGAACAGATTCAGCTTGTTGGCCCACTCCCTGTCTCCTGCTTCAGGTCCCCTCTCGTGGCCCCTGCTGTGACCTGCTTTCCAGACCTCCCTCGTGTTGTTCTGTTGCAGAAGGTTTTCCATCTTGGTCTTGTAGCTGGCCTTTCCCTCTCTGATCTTCTTCTTCAGCTCCTTCTTGTCCCCAGATTTAAAGACCCTCCTCTTTTCCTTCAGGAGGACTTTAAGTTCCGGGGTCACCCAGGGTTTGCTTTTGGTGAAACACTGTACTTTCCTGGTGGGTACGGTGTTCTCAACACAGAAGTTTATATAGTCTGTGATACAATCTGTCATGGTGTCAATGTCATCACCATGTGGGCCGCACAGTACATCCCAGTCTGTGGTCTCAAAACAGTCCTGCAGTGCCTCAGTGGCCTCCGCAGACCACCTCTTAACATACCTGATGGTGGGGGGTTGTTTCTTCACCATAGGTATGTAAATGGGCTGCAGTCTCACCAGGTTGTGATCTGAGTGTCCCAGCGGGGGCAGGGGGAGGAGGTGCATGCATCCTTGGTGTTTGCATACAGTAAGTCCAAAGTTTTATTGTCTCGTTGGGCATTCCACGTACTGGCTGAAGGTAGGGAGAGTGGAGGAGAGCAATGCATGATTAAAGTCTCCAGAGATGATGATCAGAGACTGAGGGTGGGATTTTTGTTGCTTGGACACTTCACTGTGGAGGAGTTCACAGGCTGCAGCAGCATCAGCCAAGGGGGGATATAAACAGTTAATGCGATGACGTGTGAAAACTCCCTCGGCAGGTAATACGGCCGCAAACTCACAGCCAGCAGCTCCTTAGAGCAGCGATGCTCTTTAACACTGACCTGAAGGTCACTGACGTGCCCAGCATTACACGATCTCTCGTTCACATACACTGCTATCCCGCCTCCTTTCTTCTTACCACTCTCTTTCACGCTCCGGTCCGCTCTGACGAGATGAAATCCGTCCAAAGTTACGAGCGGGTCCGGAGTGAGTTCGTTTAGCCATGACTCTGTGAAAAACATGAGGCTGCACTCCCGGTACTCCCACTGCAGCCGAGTCAGCGCTGTGAGCTCTTCCATCTTGTTGGGGAGAGACCTCATGTTTCCCATAATGATGGATGGGACAGTTGGCTTATAATGTCTCCGCTTCGCCCGATGCTGAACTCCGGCTCTGCATCCTCTCCTTCTCCTGCGGAGCTTGGGGGGGATGTCCGGACTCTCCCACGAAGGTGGCTGGGCTCGGCGCAGCGCCAACAGCTGTTAACGGCTGTTAACAGTAGAGTCGCTGAACGGGTCGCCGGACGTGGACTTGAAAACTCCAAAAGGTAAAAGAAAACAAAGTGCTAGAGTCATGAAATGCACATCCATGATTGGAATATGCAAAACACAACACTGCAAAATAAAAGAAAGACAAATAAGGTGCAAAAAACAACAATAAGAAGGCAAAAACATTAACTCTGTGACGAGCTGCTGTGACTTGCTGCCACTCTCAGGGCGCTCAGTCACTCATCTATGACCATACATATTTATCTTTAAAACATTTGGACAGATTAACAGGTAAATTTTTCCTAATAAGTATTGCCACCCCTCTGCTTTTGGTGGTGAAAGATGAGAAATAGACTTGATCAAAGCGGCACTATTGCAGCTTTAAATGTTCCTCATCATTCAGGTGTGTTTCTGGCAATATAGCAATGTCAATCTTTCTTTTTTTTAAAGATGACAATATTTTTTTCATTTAGATGGGAGAGTGGCTTCCCGTAATATTCGTAGTGCACAGCCTCTCAGTGTCACAGGTCGTAACATTTTTTACTGACAAGATTTAAGCTCCCAAATGTATTATAATCTCCATGTAGATTCTGCACCAAACAACACAGTTTACAAATAACAGACATGCCAACAGCACTATAGGAGTAACGTTCCCCAACGGGAGCCAGGGGATTACCATGACCTTCTCCAATACCGTACTCTAACTAAGTTAACTTCTCTTACAGCTCCAAACTCAAATAACACCACCTGAGTGATAATATCCACTCTTAGACAAGGATGAGCGGATCAAAAAATAGGAGAAGAAAGATAAGGAGAAAAGAAAAAGAAAAAAAGGAAAAAGCTCACAATCCTGCACAAAAACAAATTAGAATACTCTCTGTAATATTGGTTTGCACATCATGTTATCAGTCACTCATGACACATAAACATGGGACGGTAGGGCAAAGACTGTCATTTAAAATTGCTCAGTTTTAGCTTTGTGAACTATTCTCATTAATCGCATGAGGTAGATATATGACTTGCCCACAAATAAACTCAGTTCAAAACAAGTTTTTTTTTGTTCATATATCCAGATAGATAACCTACCCATAAACCTAAAAACATCAGCTGGTGACTCACATGTAGTTCACCTGAGAGTGTCAACAAAAGCCGATGCTTAAACGGGGAAGTCGAAGCTTCTGGTCTCCCCACAGGGGATTATTTTCAGCATAGCTGGGTAGAGCATCATGTATTTGGCACCAGTGCCTCACAGACGTTTCCTCACATCCTCAAATCTTACTGACAAATGACAAATCCTGGAAAAACATGATGGTAGACTCCTGTTTGAGGTTTGTTCGAAATATCAGTGTGATGGTGCAGGGCTAAGAAAACGTCAACCACTCTCTTCGCTGCCATCTTGAATCCTTCGCTATGTGCTAGTATTAAGGACAGTTTAGGGACAGTATTAAGTTCAGCTTTGTGTCAGGTTTAAGGACAGGCCAGTTTAGATTTGTGTAAGGTTTAAGGACAGGCCAGCTCAGCTCTGTCTATGGTTTAAGGACAGGCCAGTTCAGATTTGTGTCAGGTTTTAGGACAGGCTGGCTCAGCTTTTGTGTAAGGTTTAAGGACAGGCTGGTTTAGCTCTGTGAAAGGTTTGAGGATAGACCAGTTAAGATCCATGAAAGGTTTAACGACAGAAGCTGTGTGTTAGGTGGAATGCACTGTTGCCTTATAGTTGAAATCCCTGACAAAATACTTTAACTCTATGTCCTAAGTCTCTCTCTGTCCCTGGTCTTTCTATGTTCCCAGTCTCTTCTTGTCCTCAGTCATTCTTTGTCCTTAGTCTCTCTCTGTTACATCTTTATTTGCCCCAAGTCCCTAGCAGTCCTTGGTCTCTATCAATCATCAGTCTGTCTCTGTCCTTATTCTCTCTTTGTCATCAGTCTTTTTCTGTCCTCAGTCTCTTATTGTCCACTGGCATCAGTCTGTCTCTGTCCTCAATTCTTCTCTTTGTCCTTAGTCTCTCTCTGTCTTCAGTCCCTCCCTGTCCTTAGTCTGTCTCTGTCCTTAGTCCCTCTCTGTCCTCAGTCTCTCCCTGTCCTTATTCTCTCTCTAACCTAAGTCCCTTTCTGTTCTCAGGCTCTTTCTGTCCTCATTCCTTTTTTTTTATCAGTCTTTCTCTGTCTTCATTTTCTCTTTGTCCTCAGTCTCTTATCGTCCAGAGTTCCTATGTCTAATCAGTCCCTTGCTGTTCTGAGTCTCTCTTTCTTCAGTCTCTCTGTCCTTATTCTCTGTTCTCATTTTTTTTTTATTTTCAGCTAGTTTCTCTCATTTATATCCTTGTTTTCTTTCTAAGTGCAGTTCCTCTCCTCCTGTATCCACTTTATTTGTGTGTGTGTGTGTGTGTGTGTGTGTGCATGTGTGTGTGCATGTGTGTGTGCGCGCGCATGCGTGCGTGCGACCTCAACATAAGGTTGTCCTGCTTTTGTCCAATCAGGAGTCTTCATTGTTGTCATGTGGCTTGTTGTCAGCTCTGGTGTGATTATATAATTTCCTTTAGAGAGATGTAAAATTATTTCAAGTAGCTCTTTATTTTATTTGGACTCTTTTTCCTATCTATCTATCTATCTATCTATCTATCTATATTGACAATAATGCATCAAATTTTAAAGCGCTTTTTTAAAATCAGTGACCTCAAAGTGCTTGACATTGGATACATCATCCATTCGCTCACACAGTCACACCCTGGTGGTGGTAGACTACCGTGGTAGTCATAGCTGCCCTAGAGCAGACAGATGGAAATGTGGCTGACAATTTGTGCGTATGTCCTCTCCAACCACCACCACACAACACTCACAATCATACACCAGTGGAGGACACACACTAGGAGAAAGGTGGGTTAAGTGTCCTGCCCAGGTACACAACGTTTGGACACAATGGACAGACAGGGGGAATCGAACCACAAACCTTCCAGCTATTGGATGACCACTCTACCTCATGAGTTACTGCCACCATGTCTGTCTGTCTGTGTGTGTGTCTGTCTGTCTGTCTATCTATCTATCTATCTATCTATCTATCTATCTATCAATCAATCAATCAATCAATCAATCAATCAATCAATCAATCAATCAATCAATCAATCAATCAATCAATCAATCTATCTATCTATCTATCTATCTGATATCTGAATATATAACACGTTTTGGAGCAGAAGTGTGTCTTTGAGTCTGTGTTCTTCAGTGTCAAATATTAATTTCCATAATATTTATAAGTTCTTTGTTATTTTGTTGAAATATTTCTTGGATGATCTTTATGTTTTAAATCATTATTAATATAAATTTTCAATGGTCTTTATGTCACAAGTTTTATTTAATTTTTTATACAGTATAATTCTTATAATTCTTATATCAGTTTTTCTGGTAATATGTCATAGTTTTCAGTTTTCTGCGGTTTTTGTTCAAACTGAGCTCCAATATTATTCCACACAGGACAGCTCACCATTTTCAAGCAGTCCCCTCACCTCCGAGAGTCTGCACTGCGCATGCGTCCGGTTCTGCAGTGCTCCTTGTGTGTGTGTGTGTGTGTGTGTGTGTGTGTGTGTGTGTGTGTGTGTGTGTGTGTGTGTGTGTGTGTGTGCAGCCGCATACGGAGCTCTGCTCTGTGATCTGGAGGGTCGGTCTAACCGGTTTTAACTTCGCTCTGTGCAGATTGGCCCTGAACCGAATCCGTTTTGTCCGGTAGCATGTCGTCAAGCCCGCAGCAGCCAAACCCGGAGCCCGGACCGGAACCTATCCCTGAGGAGACAAAAGAGGAGGCAAAGGAGGAGGTGAAGCCGGAGATGAAAGAGGGAAAGAATGGGGAGACGGAAGAAGAGAAAAAGGAGGAGGAGAAGGAAGAAACTAAGGTTGAGAAGGAGGAGGACAAGAAAGAGGAGAGTAAAAAGGAGAAGAAGGACTCCTGGAAGGATTTTATCTACAACCCGAGGACCGGAGAGTTCATGGGTCGGACCGCCAGCAGCTGGGGTAAGGTAGTAGAATCGGACCTGTCTATCAGTCACCCTGTGTCTCTCTGTTTGTCCCTCAGTCTGTCTGTCCTTTTCTGTCTGTTTATCTCTCTGATGGGGGGACTCATCATCTGCAGCAGCTGGAGCTCAACAACAGAAACATACGAACTGACACGAGAGCAGCGGAAGGGTGTGTGTGTGTGTGTGTGTGTGTGTGTGTGTGTGTGTGTGTGTGTGTGTGTGCGCGCTCTATCGTGTTCGATGATCATCAGTTTGATTGTTATGTTGACAGTAAGACATTACGCGATAAAACATTTTTTTTTATATCATGGAAAATTGAATATATCAATGTATATAAACATATGCCAGTAACTTTATTTATACTGTATCACCGTATCACAGTTACACGTCACCGTAGATAAATGTGAATAATACAATATTTAATAAATGACAGTATATTCAATGTTGTTAATAAATAATACATCATTGTATGTTGATATAGCCTATAAATCCCAAGATTTCACATCTACTAAAGTACATTAGTTAGTTAACACATGTATATGATGTGGCCCAGCCACCCTTTGGAGGAAATTCCTTTTGGCTTCTTTTGGTCACTACCCACAGCTTGTGACCATAGGTGAGGGTAGGAATATAGATTGACCGGTATATTAAGAGCTTTGCTTTTTGGCTCAGCTCCCTCTTTACCATGATAGTTTTGTGCAGCATCTGCATCACTGCTGACGCAGCACCGATCCACCTTTTGATCTTCCGCTCTGTTCTTTCCTAACTTGTGAACAAGACGCCGAGATACTTGAATTTCTCCATTTGGGGCAGAATGTCATCTCTGACCTCGAGAAGGTACTCCACCTTTTTCCGGTTGAGAACCATAGACTCAAATCTGGAGGTGCTGGTTCTCATCCCAGCCGCTTCACACTTGGCTGTGAACTGATCCAATGAGAGCTGGAGGTCATGGCCCAAAGAAGCCAACAGGACCATGTCACCTGCAAAAAGCAGTGACCCAACCCTGAGGCCACTGAACCAGACCCTCTCAACACCTTGGCTCCACCTAAAAATTCTGTCCATAAAAGTTATGAACAGAATTGGTGACAAAGGGCAGCCCTGGTGGAGTCCAACCCTCACTGGAAACAAGTCTGACTTACTACCAGCTATATGGACCAAGCTCTGGCACCAGCCGTACAGGGGACTAACAGCCCTTGTCAGGGTGGCCGGTACCCCATACTCCTGGGCCATCCCCCACAGGACTCTGCGAGGGACATGGTTGGGCAAACTCCCATGCACCCTCAAGGATCCTGCAGAGAGTGTAGAGCTGGTCCACAGTTCCTCGACCAGGGAGAAAACTGCATTACTCCACCTGAATCTGAGGTTTGAGTGCCCTCCTCTCCGGGACCCCTAAATAAACTTTACAAGGGAGGCTGAAGAATGTGATCTATAGTTGGAACACACCCTCGAATCCCCCTTCTTGAAAAGGGGGGCACCACCCCGGTTTGCTAATCTAAAGTGTGACAACCCCTCCTGCTCCTCTTCTGCTTTCTCCCCTTGCATGTGTCTGATTCTGCTCTGTGTTGCAGCCTCAGGGAGATAGTGGAGGGTGGAGCTGGGAGGGCCTGAGTTACCTGCCCAACAGGGCAGGGCCAGAAAGCATAAAAGGCCTGGCTGAAAAGCGTTCGCTCTCTCTCACAGCAGGGCCTGCATCTACCACACCAGCCACCACCATTTTGGGTTTGTTCATCTTACAACATCCACCACACACATGCTCACACATCCAACACTTAATCTTAATCCTGACGCCTTATACAGATTGATGATCATTTTTGTTAAATAAAATATCTTTGTTAATGGTTATTGTGTGTTGCCTCCCTTCTTGTTATCTGTCTTCAGCCAGGCAGTTACAAATGGGGGCTCGTCTGGGATCCTGGTTTAATTTCCCAGGTGAGTTTAGGGCTGAGAAACCAGGTTAAGTTTGAAAGGGAGGTGTTTCACACAGTTACTGGCCTAGTCTGTTTTATAGTTTGATGGCCTGTTGAGGTGTTTGTTTCTAATCTGCTGGTGGGTGAAGGCTGTGTCGTCATTTGGGAACCCTGTCAGGTTTTAGCAATAAAGGACACCAGATGTCCACATTGACCCTTTTTTGTTTTAGTTTGTTATTTTCGTGCAGCAAAGTTGTTAGAGCTGATGCTCGGGGGCACTCCATAACTGTCTCGGTGGCTGTTAGCTTTCTGACGCCTGGTTCACATAGGAAGTGCTGCGCGTGGAACGGAAGCGCCGCGCACTGAGTTTCGGATCGGTGCCCGTGTTAACCTATGTAACTGTTCACACAGCGTGCGCGCGGAACGGCTCATGCTCTGGAGCGCGGCCGCTCCACTTCTCTCTATTTT